CGCCCCCAGCCCCGCTCCCCGGTGGAGGGAAGGCAGGCAGAGCAACGCTGCTTGCCGGTACCTAAGGCCGCACCCCGCTGGAGCAAGAGGGAAGCGGCTCTGTGCCTGGATTTCAAGGCCGGGCGGAGTCAGATGAACGCTCGGTTCCACGTGAGCGGAGCAAGTTCTTCAGCAGTCGCCCAGCAGAACCGTCGACGGTCACGGACCCAGAACAGGACAGCAGCCAAGGGAACATACATCAGCTTTCCCTGCTAATTACAGCCCACTGCTAATTAATAATAAACTCATCAGTCGAAGCGACTGCTAGTTAGTGCCCATTTTTTCAGGCTGCACAGCAACTAGCCAATTAGAGGAATGTTAACCTGCACTAGGATAACGAAGGTAAAAACATGTCGCCACAGGCATTGCAGATGATGTTAATTTAAAAGAGATAAAATGCAACATTTCTGGTCACTGTAGTATTATTGCATTCAGGCAAGGCAAAAATGGGACATGCAGAACGGATGGAATTATCCCCAGGATCCACAAAACAGAATACACCTGAGAAAATACTGCCCCACTGGGTTTTTTTTATTCCCTCTTAAATGGCTTCTCATAGAAAAGGATTGTATACAAGAATACTCCTGTACAGAAATCCCTTATATCTACCAAACAATCTTGCTGAATATTCCAAATGGTTCCAAGAAAATGTCTCTTAATAAGCACAGGAACGTAAATCACTTTCTGCATCTATCAAAATTCTCACTTAGGAAAAAGCAGCATAATATTTAAACTAATATTGGAAATGAGATGTTTACTGTTCTTGGAGGATTATTCCTTGATCACAGGTAAGAAATCTTTATATAAAAACATCAATAAAAATATTGCAATATTGATAACTTCCTACAACGCTGCAACTCGTAATTTCACTCCATATAGGGTGCTGCAGTAACTATGTAACATCTGTTACTAGACTTACCTGTGATGTAACATTAAAAACCTGTCTACATGGTTGGTTTTGGTTTAGTTTTGAGGCAGACCTTGGCTCACTCTTCCTGAAGTCCAAAGTGGTGGGAGGCCAAAGAGCCAAAGAGCTTTGATCTGAAAGCGCTGTGTCCTGTGCAGGGTTTGAGTGCACTGCCTTTAGATCAGAGCTAGCCAGTGTCCACATACCTTGGAGCTTTGCTAAAGCCAGAACAGGTCTACCCATAAGAAAAGAAACTAGTAGGATACGCAACATCCTTCAAAAACACACAGGTGTCAGAAAGGGTCATCCACTCTGATTTTCACCCCTAAATCAAGGTAAAGTGTGCTCCTTATACAAGTTACTACTTCAAGCGCTCTACTGGCTATATGCTGTTCTCTTGATCTGCTTCTAAGCAGTTGTCCAAGTGACAGTGTTAACCCAGCCCAATACTGAGTGTTAGCTCTTCAAAGCAAAACAAAAGCTCTGCCTGCCTGCTTTGTGCAGGCAGAGCAAAATCTGTTACCTACCATTTACAATGTAGTTTTCAAATAACCTCTTACTCCTATCAAATAAAATAATCACAACCTGTACTATGTTCTCTAGCTACTGACAAGGTAGATTTAAGTGCCATCTGCACAGCTGGAAGTATTAACTAAAGCTCATAAAAAATAACAAACGGGAGAAAAAATAAACTATCACAAGGGAGTACACATCAAATACTTCATTGTTAAGCATCTGTATGCTGCAATTACCAAGACGGAGCAGCGATGCAAGCCTTTGCCATCAACAGTATGTAATTTCAGAAAAATGCAGAGAAAACAGCCCACGCATTTTGAAAGATGAACATACAAGGAAACACCTGAAAGAACAGATCAAAACCCGTCCTTGTAGGGTAGTTTCATAAGTCTCTGAAGTCAAGATTTGGAGATACGGTTATTTTGTGACCTAAGCTTCACAGTCAGGCAGATCTTCTCTCCCCACCTCAAAAGATTCTTTGCTGATTGACAATAGTTCACGCAGCTCTTTGTTTTCAAGCTGCAAAATCAATATTTTTGCTGAAACAGAAATGAGCTAATTCACAATTAAAGGACTATAATAGAAATGAGCTAATTCACAATTAAAGGACCATAATCATTAAATAGTCTTGCTCCTTCACAGCTCAATAAAACACTGGTTTTGTAACATAAGCATTAATACAGTGCTAGCAAGAGGAGAACCACATCATTTAAAGCTTATCTTTTGCTTCTGGCTTCATATATAGAATACAAACATCAAGAACCTGAAAATAAAACAGATCATGTTCTGCATTTCCTGAGCCCACCCCCAAATTTTTGACTGTTATAAATCCTGGACACAAACATAGAAAGTCCAAAGTAAGTCTAGAGACGCCCAAAGCTTGATCTAACCTTAGCAATCGTATCTGTTCTTACCTCCAACTGAGCTAGTTTCTCCTGAACTTTAAAGAACTGATCATCATCGACTTGCATAGCTTTTCTCATCACCTCTCCCATCTCACATATTCTGTCTATTTGACTTTCAATTTCCTGAAAGACATAAAAATGATATATTCAATATGTTCAGGCAAAAGCAGCAGTAATGATTTCTCTCTTCTAAAAAAATTACTTTCATTTTCTTGATTTTGGATTATTTCCCTGTTTTGAATTTTAATCCTTTCCTCCCAAGCGCTTGCAATCCTCTCTAATTTGTATAATATTTAAAGATGAAAACACGTACCTTATCATCCATTATCAGGAGTCATCAATGAAAACAGTGAATAGAATAAGGTACCCTTACTTACTTACTAAAATGGAAGTAATTTCAAGTGTGACAAGGACTGAGACAACAGACTCAGGTTCATGTGAATATGGTTAGTATGCAGCAAATTTTATATTGCTTCATTAGGAAAGCCTGACTCTGAATTGGTAAGAATGCCAAATACAAGAGCAAATGAGGTTTCAAGACTAATTAACAGTGTGAAGTAAAGAGCTTCATCTCTGAAGGAAGCCAAGCCAGGAAAACTAAAATAAGTTAAGACCAGAACCTCCTGAGGCAGTTTTTACAGAATCTGTCTAGATACAGCTCTAATCCTTTGGTGGAAGATGCATTTTGTTGAAGCTCAGAAATGCACATATAATGAACACTGAAAAATTCCAACATGTAATGTAGCAACAACTCCTGTTTGAAGAGCATTCCATTTCAAAATACAGTATTCAGAGAGCAACTCGAATGTGCAAACACAAAAATGTCAGTAATTGGCAACAAGTAGCAAGATAAGAATTTGGAAGCTTTTGAAGCATTTTAACATAACATAAACATATGAGGTTATCACAAAGCACTTTGGGGAATATGAGATAATGTTATAGGGTGAAGTTTCTTTTCTCTAAGTGTCAGTAGGTATTCCACTGCCTCTGGAAGATAAATGTATCACCAGAGCAGGGAATTCAGTTTTGAATACCATTATTCAGAAAATATGTAAACAAATTAGAGCATCTAGGAGAGAGTGGGAAGAACAAGAAAGATTTAATCTGAGAAGAAAGAATGATTTTTTTTTTCTGAACAGAAAGATGGTTATAATAAGAATATAGCTCTTTAAAAGATATTTAAAGGCCGTTACTGTTCTCCAAGTGGTGGGTAGGAGAAAAAACTCATGGACTTAATCTGAAGTACAGAAGATTTTGCCTAGATATCGAGACAGTCTAGGTACATTCCATCAAAGGTTTCTCCAGAGCCTTTTCAGCTCTGCATTTCCATGCCATTAAAATGGAGCAAAAGCAGTGCCAGAGGAAAATATTAGAAGTTTTGTTCAAACGTCAAGTCTTGATAAACGGAGCGATTAATGTACCTAAGCAAGCACTGGAAGCAAGATACTGCTACACTACCTAACTTCAGAGGACTGAAGCAACACAAAACAGAGGACTAATGAGTTGCCACATATCAGCGCAAAGATACATGTGCAAAGAATTAGGCTGGCTCCAATTCCAATTAAAAAAACACAAGACAGGAGTTGCCATTAGGTTGAACCAGCTTGCTGTTCTCTAATCACACAAAAATGCATCTTAACAAAAGTCTAACTTAATTCATAAGACTTAAATAGAGATTTAATGTTGTTGTTATTATATTGTTATTAGACACCTAAACATAAAACAGGTGGCAGTTATCAGTAGCCACACCTTAGAGTTCCAAAGTCACTGCAACAAACACGGACAAAGGGACCCTTTTAGGCCACTGCACAGAGTATCCAGATTTAAAAACATCTGGGAGTGATGATTTCTTAAGAATTAAGCATACTGCAGCTCACAGAGATTTAGGAGGTTCTTCTCCCTTCATTACAATTACTGAACAGGAACAGTAACAACTCTGATGTCTTTACTGTAGAGAACCATGTACATTAAGCTTAACCCAGGGAATTCACCACCTAGTGAATAAAGAACAAGCTTTCACCTGGGCTGTGAAAGGGTTATGCTTTTCAGCGTCCTCTATGATAACTGTTACAACCTGTGTGCTGTAAAAGGAATAGAGAAAAAAAATACCAGCAAAGAGAGACAAGAGTTTCAGAAAATGTATTTTGGAGCAGACGTTCCATGAATGGAAGCCAAGGTTGTATGAAAGCAAGCGAGAGACAGGGAACAGGGGTCTTAAGCCCCCCTTCTGTCTCCATCCCACCTTACCAAAGAATTAGCCTGATGAACTTTCAACACTGGTTCAGCATCTTCGCCTTTTCTCCCTTGCAAAAGCTGTAACATCTGCTTTCTGTATTTGCTCATGATAAGCTCTAACGCGTCTTGGTGCTCCTCCAGCGAGATCCATAGCTCTGCAAAATACAGTACGTCATTGCCACAAACTACCTGCAATTTTTCACGGCAATGACAGCAGGTGCCCAGAGGTACTCGGTACCAGCTGCTCGCTTGATTCGTGCTACCCCACCACTCACTCCCCTTGACAGCGCAGCCCTGGGACTACGGCCCGGGGCGGCTGGCTGTCCGGACCTCTCAGCTAGCCCAGAAACCATCCTGACGTCGGCAGGCGGTTCCACACCGAGGGAACCTTGGGCT